CCCCAGTAGAATTCTGAATGGCCAAATGTCTAGTGGACGCTGAACAGGGAACTAGTAAATTCCAACTCAGTCCCCACCCAATGATTTGAGCCCAGCACCCAGCCAGGCATGGAAAGCAAAGGATTCCGGCTCTCGGGGCTGCTCCAGGCCACGGGGAGAGAGGCGCCCACAAGAACAATTTCACTTATTCTCCTCCTCCATCCAGTACGAGACTGTGCAAGAGGCAGTCCGGATTTTATGGCGGTAATAATGTCTGAGCTGAAATGAAAGGATTACCAGGATTTGCCTGTTGGACGTCTCTGACCCAAACTGCCCTGAGGCCTGATGACAATACTTAGCACCAAGTATCTGAGTAGGAGATTGATGAGAGTAAATGGTGTTACCGCTGAAGCGATTCTGAGGTCCTGTAAGATCACCAAGGTGCACAGGACCTTTCCATGTATCTGCTGGCATGTATGACTCGGTGTGAAATATCAGCCCAGATAACAGCCACATTGCCTCCCTTTCTGCAAGCTAAACAGCCTGACTACGTTAGCTGCACACCCACACTCACGTGCCACTGAATGATGGAAACGCGTTTGGTAATTTCATCATGTGGACGGCGGAGAGTGCATTTACACAGACCTAGAGGGCATAACCCACTGCCGCGCACCCAGGTCCTGTGGTGTAGCCTATTGCTGTGAGGCTGCAACCTCAGCAGCATGCTGCTTGCTGAATACTGTAGGCAACACGGTGATAAGCATTTGTGTGTCTAGACGTATCTAAAGACGGGAAAGGCACAATAAAAATACGACGTGGTATTGTCACCCTATAGGACCACCGTTGTATATGCATCTATACACACAGGCGTGCGCCACACAATGTCAGCGACTGACTGCATAGACCACGCTGGTCCAGTGTGATGACTCTCCACCACCCCGGGCCCTGAAACACTGAGTCAGCTGCTCCACATGCTTTCTTTCCCCTTCCTTTGTCCCCTCAGCCGGCAGTCTTCCCAGAATGCCAACACTGGCATCTGGAAGTGTCAAGGTGAGGCCTGTCTGAGATGTGGTGGGGTGTGAGCCGGAGGTCCTCCGGGACCTGGAGGGCTGGAAGGAGCTGGCTGCCGTCCGGCCTGCCCTGAGGCTCACCTGAGAATCTGCAGACTTAGACCTGGAAGGCTGCTGTCATTTGAGGCTTTCTGCTGCTCACAGCGAAATCTAATTTTATGGTTAATAGTTTTATTGAGATACAGTTCACATACCACGTAATTTACCCATTTGAAACATGTCATCTTTAGTAAGTTTACAGGGTGCGTAACCATTGTCGCATTCTAATTTTAACATTTTTGGCACCTCCAGCCAGAAAAACCACTTTACACTCATTATCAGTCATTTTCTGTCCCCCTCCACTAATGCTGTCCTTGGCAACCACCGATCCGCTTTCTGTCTCGTGGATCTGCTCTCCTGGAGTTTCACATCAGCGGATCACAGCACAGCAGCCTTTGCGTCTGGCCTCTGCACTGTGCAGTGCTTCAAGGGCCACGCACGCTGGAGTCAGTATCAGCACGGTTTCTCTTTGTGGCTAATATTCCCTTGCATGGATAGCACGTTTTGTTTATCCATGAATCCACTGATGGATATCTGGGTTGTCTCCATGTTTTTATTGGTAGGTATTGGTACGTACTTATGGGGTATGTGTGATGTTTTGTGGCATGCACAGAGTGTGTTATGATTAAGTCAGAGTATTTGGGGTACGCATCACCTGCAGTATTTATTATTTCTATATGTTGGAAATGTCTCAAGTCTTCTAGCTATTTTGAAACATACAATACACCGTTGTTAACTAGATTCACCGTATTCTGCGACCGCACGTTAGAACTTATTCCTTCTACCTGACTGCATGTTTGTGCCTATTAACCAATCTTTCTTCTCCACGAAACTTCATCTTAACGACTTTACTTCGTAATACATTCCTTCTCTAACTAATATAGACATTGATACCAGTAAGCAACACATCTTCAGGGAAACATGGGGAATTGAGGACATATTACTGGGTGGAGTTGGACTGAAAAGCAGTGACCTGCCCATTGATATGACGGGAAGGGAGCTGGCAGGCCATGGGGCACCCCAGCAAATGGGTCAGATGGTGGCCCATGTTCCTTGGAGGCATCTAGCACCAAGGGCAGAGCTCTGGGCAACGGGGAGCTGCCTCAGCAGAGCAGGTCAAGGCAGATGAGGGACATGGGCCCTGTTGGAATGAGTGGTTGTTCTGAAGACATTAAGTAACTAAAAGTCAGAAAACAGTAAGTTCGAATACAGAAATTCTCACCTCAAAGCGTGGTCTGAAATAGCCGTGGGGTGACTGCTGAAAGCACGTTTCACGTTTGTAATAACAGGGTTGTAGTCACCTAAAACCTAACTTGGAGACTGATTTTGTAGATCTTTGAATGATAACGTTCGTGGCTCTTGCGGCATGGCCAAATCTGCTCTACGAAGGGTGGGGCACTGGCCTGTGGAGACTTGGATCGAAACAACGGAGCACTGGTATTGACGTGGCAGCTTGCTGGCTCCTGAACCCCAAAGCCATTGGAAGTTCCCCATGGCACACAGGGCTCTGCCCAGCCCCCACTCGGAATGGCTCTAGGACATGGGCCTGATTTCAGCACAGTCTGGGGTACAAAGTACAGAGTCAGAGAATCAAAGAGAAGCATTATGGTTCAGGAGAATTGCAGGTTTGTTAATAGGATTTGGTTTTAAGGCGGCTCAAGCAAGAACAGACCTAACAGTGAATCAGCCTGAGTTGACTGAGGCAGATCCACGTCCCGGAAGTTCCGTCCCCAAGTGGCTGGGAACCCGGGGTTCTCTAGTGGCATCTGTGTTGTCTGACAGGAATCTGCACAGGACTCTGTTTCTCTGGGGCTTCATTTCTGGTGCTGAAGGTCCAGAAGCCCTAGGGTCTGATGTGGAGGAAGGAGGTGTGGTGTGGTGAATGAACCTCATACACATCTTGCTCTCACTCTGTACCTACAGCCCGATTAGACCTGGAAGTGTGCATGTGTCTGCATGGTGTTTCATGTATGCATGTGCATGTGTCTGTATGTTTTGTGTATGTGTGTGCATGTGTCTGGTGTTTCATGTGTGTATGCATGTATATGTTTTTTGTGTGCATGTGCTTGTGTCTATGTGGTATTTCATGTATGTCTGTATGGTGTTTCGTGTGTGCATGTGTCTGTATGGTGTTTCATGTATGTGTGTGTATGTCTGTATGGTGTTTCGTGTGTGCATGTGTCTGTATGGTTTCATGTGTGCGTGTGCAAGTGTCTGTATGGTGTTTCTTGTGTATGTGTCTGGTGTTTCATGTGTGCGTGCATGTGTCTGTATGGTGTTTCACATATGTGTGCATGTGTCTGGTGTTTCGTGTGTGCGTGTGCATGTGTCTGTATGGTGCTTCGTGTATGCGTGTGCATGTCTGTATGGTGTTTCGTGTGTGTGTGCATGTGTCTGTATGGTGTTTCGTGTGTGCATGTGCATGTGTCTGTACGGTGTTTCATGTGTGTGCATGTGCATGTCAGTATGGTGTTTCATGTATGCATGTGTCTGTATGGTGTTTCATGTGTGCATGTGCACGTCTGGTGTTTTGTGTGTGTGTGTGTGCATGTGTCTGGTGTTTCGTGTGTGTGCATGTTTCTGTATAGTGTTTCGCATGTGTGTGTGGTGTTTCGCGTGTGTGTGTGCATATGTCTGTATGGTGTTTTGCGTGTGTGTGTACATGTCTGTATGTTTCATGTGTGCATATGCCTGTACGGTGTTTTGTGTGTGTGTGTGCATGTGTCTGTATGGTGTTTTGCATGTGTATGCATGTGTCTGGTGTTTCACGTGTGCATGTGTATGGTGTTTTGTGGGTGTGCATGTGTCTGGTGCGCATGTGTCTGGTGTTTCATGTGTGTGTGTGTGTGTGTGCATGTGTCTGTATGTTTTTTGTGTGTGTGCGTGCATCTGGTGTTTCAAGTGTGTGTACATGTGTGTATGGTGTTTCATGTGTGTATGTATATGTGCATGTGTCTGGTGTTTGTGTGTGTGCGTGATGTGTCTGTATGGTGTTTTATGTGCTTGTGTCTGTATGGTGTTTTGTGTGTGTGTGCATGTGTATCTGGTGTTTCACATGTCTCTGGTGTTTCGTGTGTGTGTGCGCATGTGTCTGGTGTTTTGCACGTGTGTTCATGTGTCTATATGTACAGTGTTTCATGTGGAGGTGGGGGTGTGTACTCCTTGTGGACACATGCTGGGTAGGAATTTACTGAATGGGAAGAAGAAACTAGCCTGGGGAGCCAAGGACCCACAGTGCAGACCGGCTTTACTTCTGAATTAAGAGGTGATGGGTGTGCTGAGTCCAGGTGGCAAAGCACAGGAGACATGGCAAGGGCTATCCCTGGGGCTGTGTGCTGGGCACCTGCTTTGCTGCACATGATGACTGTCACTGTCTCCTGCCAGCCCCAGATCCATCACACGGCAGGACTCCCCTCAAGAGTGCATGCACACACACACAGGCTCTAATGCACACACACACACATCCATATGTCAAATGTGCATACATATGTGCACTCTTACATACATTTATGCATGTACACACATGCACAAACTCATACTTCCACATACACATACGCACACACATGTAAATACATGCATATGCACGAACCCACCCAAACACGCACATGTGCACACATGCATAAGCACACATGTGAACACACACATGAACTCACCTACACACGCACATGTGTGCACATACACACGTGTACATACACATACGCATGCACTCACCCACCTACACACACCCATGCACAGGGCTCTGAGTTGGAGTGGGCATAATGCTGCTTCACCTCCCCATGAGGGGTCACATGGCAGCAGCAGAGGTGGTCACGGCCTGAAACCAGTGGAAGGGGCCAGAGGAGGGGGGAGCTTTCCAGACTGTTATTAGTAACTACACAGAAAGTCCAAAGGTTACTGTTAGGCTGAAAAAGATTACACTTCATAAAACCATGTTTATTCAAAAAAATCTATTCAGAAAGTCTGGAAAGCGTAATAAATATCTGTACAGCGGCCACCCGTCTCAAACAGGAATTACAAAGCGGAAACATGAAAATGATCCGTGAACATAACTGCTGAGCCTGTGGACAGAGTGCTGAGTCAGGAGCAAGGCAGAGAAGCGTGCGCAGTAGAACGACCTGGACGTGGCAGCCTCCGTCCTGAGCCCCTGAAGCCGCGCCGCAGTCCACCTTCCACCCCCTCTGCTGCGCTCACGGACCGGCAGCATCCTTCCCGAACCTACGCGACACTTAGAAAGGAGGAGGCAGCAAAACCACGTCAGAAAGGAACGGAGTGCAAATCAAACTTTGCCATGTGCTTGAGAGAATCAGTAAAGCGTTAGGGAAAAATCCCAAGTGCAGCTTTAGGATAACACCATTTAATGAACAATACTGGCTAACGTTAAGTACTATCATCGCTTTAAAATTCAAACAATCTTCCAAACAGCAATACTTACACAGTTAGTTTAAAATCACAGACAAATCGGACTTGGGGGTAAAAGTGAGATCCTCACCTCTTGCCCATGTTTGACTTTGGGGTGGAATTCAGCGAAGCTCTCCCACTGCTGACTGGGAGAATCAGGTGTTTCTCCCGCATAGGGGGCTGCCAGGGAAGGAGGACCCTATAGGGTGGTCAGGAAGGACCACCCATGGTGGGTTAGGAAGCCTGAGATCTAGGATTCCGTGTTTATAAGTGCTGTGATTTTCATGATCCACAGGGGTTATGAGGGTCTGTGTGAGCGAGGAGAGCCAATTAACTTTTGGGGAGGTCTGTGTCATTTGTGCAAATCATTTGAAGCGTTTCATGAGGCGTGGAGGTGCGCTGAGCTGGCGAAATGTGAATTCTAAGAACACCTTCATTTACAAGTTGACCACTGTTAGAAAGCAGTCACATACTATTTCGCTAAATTTTTTGAAAGCTTAGCTTAACATATGATACCATAACTTCAAGGCTGACTTTCTGTGGAAGGATTTCAAGTATCATTTTTTTCCAGATACGGGAGGGAAAGTAGAGGTATTTCACACTCAGTGGAGCAGGCCCAAGCCAGTGTTCTCCGCTGACGCACAGCAAATACACAGAAGGATAGCTCGCAGGGATGGGGAGTCTCACCCGTCCCTTTGGCATTCTTAGAGTTCAGAAGCTAAGGCTGTACGAAACGGATTACTGAAAAAGACCACAAGCTGGTGGCCATGGGCACACAGAGAGGAAGAAGCGTGGCCGCCTGCTGGCGGATGCTTCCCCATTCGCCTCTCCCTCTTCCCTCTCCCTGAACCAGAACCCACTGACTTCAAGCAGACAGACCACAGGGGCCAGGCAGCTGATGCAGTGGTGATGGCTTCCGTTCACTTCTGGGAGGACAAACTCTGTGACCTTAGGACAATCCACATTTTCCTAAGTAGAAATGAAATAATGAAGAATGAAAAAGCAAATTCCTCAGGGTGGAAATCACTCTAGCCTCCGGAAAAAGCATCTTCTACGGAGAAGATGTGAGCAAGGCCCAGCAGGCCCCATGGGAACCAGGTATTCAGTCCCACCTCTCCTTTCATGTTTTCTTGTTCTCTAAGAAGAAAAAAAAATCCTTATGGATTAAAGCTTCTGAAACAAGTTTATATTTTAAGGTCTGAAAACAATGAGACCAAGCTAAGGGGTTATTTTTCAGAACACAGCCCAGTTTTTTTTTAAGTTGGGTGCTAGAAACAAGATGGAGGGAGATCAAAACCCAACAAAATAACATCTTCTTAGGGAAAACCTGCTGCAGCCAGCGGGCGCCTCCTGAAGCCCCAGTTCCTGCAGAGGGGTTGCTCTTCTGTGATGCGGGGCGAAGGGGGAGCGGCTGCCTCCTCTCCAGTCCTCTTGCTGGGTCCCTTGGTGTGGGGGCCGCCAGGGAGCATCTTCAACACCCTTACAGCAGATTGAAGGACCCATGTGTTCCCTCTGCCGGCTGGACTGGGCACTGAGCCTGCTGCCCGGAACCTTCTCACTCAATTTTATACAATGAAGGAGAGCACAGCACGCCCTCAATGCCCTGTACCCACCGTGTGTGCACACTCAGGGGAACACGGATCAGTGTGAAAACAGATCTGTGCAACAGAGACACACAACACAACACAAAGCAGCATCTACAAAGTGCATCGCCCCTGTCCACCTCATCTCCGCTGCCCTCCCACCTGCGCCGCTGAACTGAGGATTGGTGGGAAGCCACAGAGCTCCATTCCTCCAATTCACAGCTTTTCCATAGACCAGAAAAATCAAAGTGAACACGGCAAAACCACAGCTTTGGGTGAGCACGCAGGAAGCTGACCAGGGCTCCCCGCAAAGCCTCCAGGTAACCATGTGACACCAGAGCTGTGGACAGAGGGCAGCCCAGTGCGCTTGGCCCCCTACCCTCGGAAAGCAGGGACTCGAGGTGGGCACAGGCTCCTCTGGGAGGGACCCCCTTCCATCCTGGTGACACGGCAAAGATCCAGCCCACCTGCTTCCCGCCTGGGCTCCTTCTCCTCATTTGAATTTGGGACAGAGGAAAGGATGGGCTACCCAGCACCTCAGGCAGAGACTGAAGGGCGAGGAGGAAACAGCTCTTTGGATTATTTTGGGCAGAACCAGACGTCCCTCCTGGATGCCACAGTGCCAACCTGGTCATCCAGCATGTGGGGAGCCCCGGGATGCCAGGTCACCCCCACCCTCTGGGCCTGCAACCACCCACGGCTGCGCCATTGCACTGCCACCTTCCCACCAGGTACCCGGGACGCTGGCGTCGGGAGTCTGACCGAGTGACCGGCTTCCTAATTGGAAAACAGATCTCTTAGTAGAAACAGAAGCCATGAAATGAGAAGGCCCGTGGGCTCTGAAAGGAGCCCCTGGCATCGCCTGGCCGTACAAGGTGAAGGGGCGCATTTGGTTTTGATCAGGAGAAAGGAGAGCGGGCGGCGAGGCTGGTGAGTGAGGCTTGGAGAAGCCCCTAGGTCAGGACCCTCTCCAGGGCTGAAAAAGAAAACATGGACACGGCGAGGGCGGGCGCCGCCTCCCTGCTGGACTTGTGGTCACTCTGGGTGCCAGATGGGCCCTGAGGCCAGGGTATGAGAGCCCATGAGGACACTGGCGGGGGACACTGGGGCCAGGGTCCCACCCGCTACAACCGTGTGGATGTGAGTCTCTTCATGCCTCTACGCTGAGCCAGGTTGGATGACAGCACGGGCTCCAGCCTCGGGGCCTGAGGTGTTCTGTTTAGAGCAAAGTAGGTGGCGGCCATCGCTCCCTGCAAAAGAGAGGGCAAGGGTAAAACCGCCTCACTCCAGGGCTGGAGCCAGAGCCCAGGGCCTCGATGAGCCTCAGCTGCCCCCAGGCAACGTGGGGGAAACCAGAGCTTCCTCAGGGTCCCTGGAGCATGGGGTCCTGTGGGCCTGCTGCGGGGGCCAGCACACATGAGCCTCAGGACAGAGCATCTGATCCTTATTCCTGCACCTGCTACCGCCCCACGCCACCCTCTCACTGTGTTTATGCCTTGGGGAAAACATTTTAGCTTCTTGTGGAGCCCCCAAGACGAGGCTACGTGATCCCCACACCCTAATAGTGAGGCCAGGTGTGTTTTGGGGCTTGCTTGCTGGGTCCTAGGACACACGCACAGCAAATGCCAGGGCCTGTCTGCCCGGACTGCGGCCACTGCTAGGAGTCTGGACTCATTTGGAGGAACAGGCACATCCTGGAGTGACTCTAAATCCTCAGGATGGATCTGGACGGACCGCTCCTCACTGGATCCTGCCTTGTCCTGCTGGGGGAGGGGGCAATCTACGCTTCTCAGAGGAGGAGTCCCACCCAGAGGATGGGGTGCCTGAGAGGCAACTGCTCGCTGAATGTAAGTTACATATATATATATATATATATATATATATATATATATATATATATATATATAGTGTGTGTGTGTGTGTATATATATATATATATATATTTTTTTTTTTTTGAGATGGAGTCTGGCTCTGTTGCCCAGGCTGGAGTGCAGTGGCACGATCTTGGCTCACTGTAACCTCCGCCTCCTGGGTTCTTGCAATTCTCCTGCCTCAGCCTCCTGAGTAGCTAGGACTACAGGTGGACGCTGCCATGCCTGGCTAATTTTTTGTATTTTAGTATAGATGGGGTTTCACCATGTTGTCCAGGCTGGTCTCAAACTCCTGTGCTCAGGCAATCCACTCGCCTTGGCCTCCCAAAGTGCTGGGATTACAGGCATGAGCCACCGTGCCCGGCCGTAAGTCACTTATAAAGTGGGGACTTTTTTGCACGTGTGGCCTAGAATGGAGGCTTTAAACCTGAGTGGAATAACCATGCCAGCCGCCACCATGTCCGCAGAGGCTGCACCTACTCAGATGTGCTACCGCTCCGTGTGCTACTGTGCGTATCTGGTGAAGTGCGAGGAGGTAAGAGGGTGGGCGTGCAGTTTGGGGCTGCTACGGGCTCCTTCTGTGTACTCTGGGATTTCTTCAGTGATTGTAAGCTATCAGACTCTTTTCTGCGTTTCCCACCGCCGTGTCCTCACTGTCACCGGCTGGTACCTTCACGAGGTGCACGTCCTGTCGGCTGAGCTGGTTTTGGGACAGGTACTCTCTGTTGACCACCCACGGGTGTTTGAGCACTTGCATGGCTGTCAGGCGCTGATGAGGATCCACGTGGAGCATCTTGGACACGACGTCCTGCCAGGGAAGGTCACGAGAGTGGGGTGGATGGTGGGATCATTTGTGCTGGGCCAGAGAGCTCCCCAGCAGAACACCTTCTCTCTCTATGCAACACCCAACCACTATGCTGAGTCTGGGTCTGCATCCTGGGGTCAAGTGCTCACTTTCAGGTTTAGAAGCATGTGAATGGTTTTTAGCTTTATCACCAAACTTAGAAGTTGACTGAAGGTTTATCTTTTTGTTGAGATGGAGTCTTGCTCTGTTACCCAGGCTGGAGTGCAGTGGCGCAATGTCGGTTCACTGCAACCTCCACCTCCCAGGTTCAAAGCAATTCTCCTGCTTCAGCTTCCTGAGTAGCTGGGATTATAGGAGCATGCCACCGTGCCTGGCTTTTTTTTTTTTTTTTGTATTTCTAATAGAGACAGAGTTTCACCAAGTTGGTCAGGCTGGTCTCAAACCCCTGACCTTGTGATCTGCTGCCTCAGCCTCCCAAAGTGCTAGGATTAGGCATGAGCCACTGCACCCAGCCAGGCTTATCTTTTATTAAATATTTTATGTCTAAAAATAAGTTAAATCTGGAAATGTTAGATGATGCATGTGAACTAGTGAAACAACGTTTCTTATAAACATGATATCTTTCCAAAGGGAGAAGCTGAAATAATAAATATTCCACAGTAGAAATCAACATTATTATAATGTGCATACTTATATTATTATCAGAACTACCCACAAATATTTGCTACAAATAATCACAAACTGCAAAATCTACAATCTGGAGTCATCAAATATGCCCAGTGGGCTCATGTGGAATAAAGATATTTTTCTATTTTATTGTAAAGCCATAGCAGTAGTAACTTCTAAAACAAGATTCTACATGTGTGTACACACACATACAATAGAGCGCACATTCTATTACAGTGAAATACATTTGCAGAGTACTTGATCACAGTGTGAATTACGTTTGCAGACACACCTGATGCTTCTGCTCTTATCACCGTAATCATCCTTGTAAATGGGGCAGACACACCTGATGCTTCTGCTCTTATCACCGTAATCACCCATGTAAATGGGGCAGACACACCTGATGCTTCTGCTCTTATCACCATAATCATCCTTGTAAATGGGGCAGACACACCTGATGCTTCTGCTCTTCTCACCGTAATCATCCTTGTAAATGGGGCAGACACACCTGATGCTTCTGCTCTTATCACCGTAATCACCCATGTAAATGGGGCAGACACACCTGATGCTTCTGCTCTTATCACCATAATCATCCTTGTAAATGGAGCAAATATTACTTTTCCTACTTTGCAGATGAAGACATCACTGCCCGACGAAGAACCGAGATGAGAATCCATATTCTGTCCACTAGCCTACTCTCCCTCCTTAGTGTTCCCACCATATTTGAAGATGTAATAAAATGAATTAGAATGAGGTTGGGCGCGGTGGCTCACGTCTGTAATCCCAGCACTTTGGGAGGCTGAGGCAGGCGGACCGCTTGAGGTCAGGAGTTCAAGACCAGCCTGGCCAACATGGTGAAACCTTATCACTACCAAAAATATAAAAATTAGCTGGGTGTGGTAGTGTTCACCTATAATCCCAGCTACTTGGGAGGCTGAGGCAGGAGAATCACTTGAGCCCGGGAGGTGGAGGTTGCAGTGAGCTAAGATTGTGCCTCTACACTCCAGCCTGGGTGACAGAGCAAGACTCTGTCTCACAAAAAAAGAAAAAAGAAAAAAAGAAAAGGATGATGTTGAATTACTCATTAGAATTTCTGGTAATAAAACAAATAAAAAATACTATGCACAATAACAATATCCTTTTTTTTTTTTTTTTTTTTTTTTGAGACGGAGTTTCGCTCTCGTTACCCAGGCTGGAGTGCAATGGCACAATCTCGGCTCACCGCAACCTCCGCCTCCTGGGTTCAGGCAATTCTCCTGCCTCAGCCTCCTGAGTAGCTGGGATTACAGGCACGTGCCACCATGCCCAGCTAATTTTTTGTATATTTTTTAGTAGAGACGGGGTTTCACCATGTTGACCAGGATGGTCTCGATCTCTTGACCTCGTGATCCACCCGCCTCGGCCTCCCAAAGTGCTGGGATTACAGGCTTGAGCCACCGTGCCCGGCTAACAATATCCTTTTGTACAGAAAAACCTAACGCCTTTTAATATTTGTTAACATTAACCTTGGTAATTTCTTGAAACAAGTATCTCCTAGAAGCATGACTAATGTCATTTTCAGGTGTGAAAACACAAGCAAAGGGACCTTTATTAACTCTCTTATGATCTCACAGTCATGTGACTGAGAGAAGCAGTATTTTTACTGCATACCTGCAGGATGTGGAGAGAGACATACTCATCTGTAGCTTTGCTGGTGTTTTGAGGACTGGAGGTTCTGCTATGTGGTAAATAAGAGAAAGGAAGAGGCTCGGGAAAAAGACGGGTGGGATGTGGTGGTGGCAGGGACTGGTGGTGAGGGGCAGGAGGTTGGTGAGGCCCTGCGAGGCGTCAGAGCCCTCTGCCTGCAGCAGCGATCTTGACAATGTGCCCTTGTCCTTGACTTTGCTCCTTTCCCAACACCTTCTCCCTACTCCCACGCCAGCTTCCAAGATGGCCTTCCAGACAAACTGCCAGCACCCATGTCCTAGTCTGAGGCTCTATTTTGGGAACCAGAACTAAGACAAGTCCTAAACTCATTTGAGATTAAGTGAGGGTGTAGACAGAAGCACTTGGACTGTCAGGTTCTGACATCTGGGATATGGTCAGTAAATGCCAGCTGCCATCACCTCTGCCATCATTTCTTCCATTACCCTCACTCTCCTTCCTCCATCACCCTGCCATCACCCTCACCATCATCTGCACAATCACCCTCACCATCATCTTCACCATCTCCCCCATCACCCTCACCATCATCTTCACCATCACCTCCGCCATCACCCTCACCATCATCTGCACAATCACCCTCACCATCATCTTCACCATCTCCCCCATCACCCTCACCATCATCTTCACCATCACCTCCACCATCACCCTCACCATCACCTCCACCATCACCCTCACCATCGTCTTCACCATCACCTCTACCATCACCCTCACCATCATCTTCACCATCACCTCCACCATCACCCTCACCATCGTCTTCACCATCACCTCCACCATCACCCTCACCATCGTCTTCACCATCACCTCCACCATCACCCTCACCATCGTCTTCACCATCACCTCCACCATCACCCTCACCATCGTCTTCACCATCAACTCCACCATCACGCTCACCATCACCTCCACCATCACCCTTACCATCGTCTTCACCATCACCTCCACCATCACCCTCACCATCGTCTTCACCATCAACTCCACCATCACGCTCACCATCGTCTTCACCATCACCTCCACCATCACCCTCACCATCGTCTTCACCATCACCTCCACCATCACGCTCACCATCGTCTTCACCATCACCTCCACCATCACCCTCACCATCGTCTTCACCATCACCTCCACCATCACGCTCACCATCGTCTTCACCATCACCTCCACCATCACCCTCACCATCGTCTTCACCATCACCTCCACCATCACCCTCACCATCGTCTTCACCATCACCTCCACCATCACGCTCACCATCGTCTTCACCATCACCTCCACCATCACGCTCACCATCGTCTTCACCATCACCTCCACCATCACGCTCACCATCGTCTTCACCATCACCTCCACCATCACCCTCACCATCGTCTTCACCATCACCTCCACCGTCACGCTCACCATCGTCTTCACCATCACCTCCACCATCACCCTTACCATCGTCTTCACCATCACCTCCACCGTCACGCTCACCATCGTCTTCACCATCACCTCCACCATCACCCTTACCATCGTCTTCACCATCACCTCCACCGTCACCCTTACCATCGTCTTCACCATCACCTCCACCATCATGCTCACCATCTTCACCATCACCTCCACCATCACCCTTACCATCGTCTTCACCATCACCTCTACCATCATGCTCACCATCATCTTCACCATCACCTCCACCATCACCCTTACCATCGTCTTCACCATCACTTCCACCATCACGCTCACCATCGTCTTCACCATCACCTCCACCATCACCCTTACCATCGTCTTCACCATCACCTCCACCGTCACGCTCACCATCGTCTTCACCATCACCTCCACCATCACCCTTACCATCGTCTTCACCATCACCTCCACCATCACGCTCACCATCGTCTTCACCATCACCTCCACCATCACGCTCACCATCGTCTTCACCATCACCTCCACCATCACCCTCACCATCGTCTTCACCATCACCTCCACCATCACCCTTGCCATCATCTTCACCATCACCTCCACCATCACCCTTGCCATCACCCTCACCATCATCTCCACTATCAGCTTCACCATTCTTCCTCTGTCAGCTCCACTGTCACTCAGCATGCTTCCACCATCACATCCACCAACATCTCTGCCATTACCCTCATTATCCTCACCATCATCCCCATCACCTCCACCATTACGTCTCATTACTGCCATCACCTCTCACTATCATCTCCCACTATCACTTCCATGATCACTGTCACCTCTGTCACCACTTTTGCCATCCTTCCATCATCTCCACCATCACCTCCACAATACCTTCACCATCTGCAATCCTCCACCATCACCTCCATCATCACTCATGCCATTATCTCCACCATCAACTCCACCATACCTATCCATCACCTGCATCATCACTCACGCCATCATCTCCACCATCATCTCCACAACCGTCACCTCCACCATACCTATCCATCACCTGCATCATCACTCATGCCATCATCTCCACCATCATCTCCACAATCGTCACCTCCACTCTCACTGCATGAGGCTGCACAGAGATGACAACAGCAGAATTGGAATCAGAGCCCCTGACTCCTTTTCTTCCCGCTGCTTTATGTGAACATGGGAAACAGCTGTTGGCACCGCTTACCAGCGGCTGGATGATTTACTATTGGATTAGAGAGGAATTTGATGATGCCAAATAAAAAAGACAAAGTATTTGATGGTCAAAAGAAGTAAGGCCAGTTGTCAACTGTGTGGACTGCAGACAAGGCCAAATTGAGAGCATTTTATAAGAACAGAAGCACACCCTGGCCCAGCGCTCTGCTTGGTTGCTTTATGAACATGTAGGACAATCATTCTGCAACATCACTAAAGCATGGTGGGTAATTTTACAAGTTAACTTGGCTGGGTTACGTTATCCAGTCCAGATGTTGCTGTGAGGTTTTTTGTTTTTACGGATGTGGTGAGCACTGAAGTCACTTGACTTTGAGTGAAGCAATCCCCTCCACGACATGGGTCAGCCTCACCCAACAGTGGAAGGCCCCCTTAGGAAAGAGACTGTGCTCCCCTGAGGAAGAGGGAATTCGTGTCAGATGGCCTGGGCGGGCAGCTGCCCCATCCGCTCCTTGTTGGGGCTCCAGCCTGCCGGCTGCCCTGCAGACAGACTTCCCCATCCCCACAGTCACGTGAGCCAATCACTCTCTCTGTCTCTCTCCACACACACACACACACACACACACACACACACACACACACACACGTTCTGTTTCTTTGGAGAACATTGCATGACATAACAAGACAGTAGAAAATGTAAACATGCTATAAAATTTTTTTGAAAATAATGTTTTTAGCTGAAACGCTTAACAGATGCCAAGGGTAAGGCTGGGCATGGTGGCTCATGCCTATAATCTCAACAGTTTGGGAGGCTGAGGTGGGCAGATTAATTCAGGTCAGGAGTTCAAGACCAGCCTGGCCAACATGGTGAAACATTGTCTCTATGAAAAATACAAAAAAATTAGCTGGGCGTGGTGGCAAACACCAGTAGTCCCAGCTACTTGGGAGGCTGGGGCAGGAGAATTCCTTGAACCTGGGAGGTGGAGGCTGCAGTGAGCTGAGACTGCTCCATTGCACTCCAGTTGGGGTGAGACTGAGTGAGACTCCATCTCAGAAAAACAAAAAAACAAAAGATGTGGGGGCTAAAATACCTATCCTACTTATACAAAAGTGATCTCCTGGCTTCTGAAGCAAAATGTGGCCACTGCAGAACCTGTGTACCCAAAAGCAACTCTGGGCCGTGTACTCACTTTGGCTGCGTCAGATATGGAGTCCCAGTTTCCCCCAGAAAGGGCATACTTCCCGCTGCCGATCCGTGCCAGAATCTCCTCAGCGGTGTCGTCCGGCCCATTGGCAAAAGGGGTAAATCTGTGTAATTAGACAATTTGCAGTAATGAGCTTCCATTTTACAACCTAAAATAAGGTTTGTAACTTGGTATCACTCCTTGGCTTCGCTCCTCCCTCCTCTGCTCTGGAAAGCGGAGCTCACTTCCTTATGCGATGCCCGCTTTCCCTCCTTACACAATGCCCGCTTTCCCTCCTTATGTGATGCCCGCTTTCCCTCCTTACATGATGCCTGCTTTCCCTCCTAACTCGATGCCCGCTTTCCCTCCTAATGCGATGCCCACTTTCCCTCCTTACACAATGCCCACTTGCCCTAACGCGATGCCCGCTTTCCCTCCTTGGCCACTGCATGGCTAGAGGTTGATGGGCACGTGTGAGGCCTTGCTCTATCCCTCCTGGACCCAGGCCAACAGGGACGGGGCAGCCTAGGGAGTTGCCTGGTGCCATGGTTTCCATGGTGACGCTGTGGCATCATGAAAAAGAGCTTGAGACACGGCGGTTCATCTATTACCAACTCTGTGTTGATAAGTTAATTTTTTGAGCCTCTGGTGCAAATGCAGAGTGTGTGCACAAATACACATAATATGCTGGCTGCAGCTCAGGCCGTACTGCGAGACTGTGAGAGGTGTTCACTGTGCCCACCTGAACACACACCCACACGTTCCTAGAAAAGAAATGCTATGTGATGCTGCCAGTGCTTCCTCTAGTGGGAAAGTCTGTGATCCAGTTTTCCAAATAGGCAGAGTGAGTATTAGAAGCATCACAGAATAACCAAACTGTGGTATTGGGAAGAAACTGAGATTCCTTCCTTCGTTGCCGCAGTCATCGGGATGCGGCTGCAGGTGCGAGTTCCCCTCCTGCTGTGGACACTACCTATTGACCTATTATGAAATGCGCGAAAAGCAGGCCAAGCTTATTCATTCTCATGAGGGCATTCAGGCCATTCTGCTACAGCCAACAGGACTGGACGGTGCCTCTATTCAGGCATTTAACACGTAATAGGAACCAGTGGAGGTTGTAGGCTCCTAGACCTCCCTGCCTGGAAGCAGCCACAGTGTGTCCACTTCTCACTTGGGGAGAGGGAAGGGAGGCTGGTATGGGTGGAAGTGTTTTGCCCAGAGTCACGGTTGTAGCGAGTGAGGCTCGGATGTAAGTTAGCTGTCTGGACGGCAGGCCCAGGCCGCCTTCTCTAACACCAGGTGTCTCCCCACAATGAACTGGTTCGTGCATGACTCACGACCAGGAAACCCAGGTACAGACTCTGACCCTGAAGCTTCTGTGGATGCTTTTTGGTTTAAGATGATGTCTGGAAGGCAAAAGATGTTGCTACCTTTTAAGACAGTGGCCTCGTTCAGCAGCGACTAGACACCAGGCCAGCAAAAGCCTTGGAGGTTTCGTTCATGAGCTGAGTTGAAAGAAAATGGGTGGCTACATTTCTTGTCCTTGTTCAGCTGTCCTGAGGGGCTGAGGGAGTCTCTCCAGGCCAGGGAGTGTTTGCGTAGGCATTGGGTTTTCCCACATGTGCTCACTAGGACAGGCCTGGGCCTGGTCCCCTAACAGACCAGCCACTGAGGCTGGCGCCCCATGTAGACACATGCTCCTGACAGCTGTCTGAGGCAACCGCTTACCCTGCCAGCATGGTGTACAGCAGGATCCCCAAGCTCCACATGTCACACGCTGCATCATAGCCTTGACGCTTCAGGACCTAGGAGGAACGACAAGACACTGGCACACCCTTCACTAAGAACATTCAGGTTGACAGCACATTTCTCCAGGGGCACCCTACACCAGCAAGCTGGAGACCAGGAAGAGGACAGCACTGTGACTTCAGTGTGACCGCTCTTTCTTAATGCAAAGCCAACCTAAGGTACTGCAGTGGGACTCCTCCCAGGCCAGCCACATGGTGAGCCAGTACTCTCATCAGACATGTGACAGACAGGCTAAAAAGGATGGCCTTAATTTTATTTTGAGATGGAGTCTGGCTCTGTTGACCAGGCTGGAGTGCAGTGGCACGATCTCAGCTCACTGCAACTTCCGCCTCCCGGGTTCAAGCAATTCTCCTGTCTCAGCCTCTTAAGTAGCTGGGACTACAGGCACCCAGCACTATGCCTGGCTAATTTTGCATTTTTAGGAGAGATAGGGCTTCACCATGTTAGTCAGGCTGGTCTCGAACTGCCGACCTCAGGTGATCTGCCCGCCTCAGCCTCCCAAAGTGCTGGGATTTCAGGCATGAGCCACCGCCCAGCCAACTTTTAAGGCAAAAGAATTTTTTTGTTATGGTAAAATACGTATAACATAAAATTGACCATCAAAGTCTTTTTTAAGTGGCATTAAGCTCATTTACGTCATGGTGCCAAGATCACCACAATCCAGCCACAGAACATTTTCATCTTCCCAAACTGAAACTCTGTCCCCATTAAACATCAACTCCCACTGGGCGCGGTGGCTCACGCCTATAATCCCAGCACTTTGGGAGGCTGAGGTGGGTGGATCATGAGGTCAAGAGATCGAGACCATCCTGGTCAACATGGTGAAACCCCGTCTCTACTAAAAATACAAAAATTAGCTGGGCGTGGTGGTGCGTGCCTGTAATCCCAGCTACTCGGGAGGCTGAGGCAGGAGAATTGCCTGAACCCAGGAGGCGGAGGTTGCGGTGAGCCGAGATCACGCCATTGCACTCCAGTCTGGGTAACAAGAGCGAAACTCCGTCTCAAAAAAAACACCAAAAAACAAAAAACATCAACTCCCTGCCCCTCGACCCCCAACACCTACCCTTCTGCTTTCTATCTGTATGAATGTGATTCCTCTAGGGACCTCATATGAGTGGAATTACGCAATGCCTGTCTTTCTGCGACTGGCTTGTTTCACCCTGCAGAACACCCTAAGGTTCTTCCACATGTCTGAAGTTCCTTCCTTCTTCAGGAAGGACAACGCTCTACTGTGTGCACATGCCACGTTTTGCTTACACATTCATCCACCGAGGGACACTCAGTGGCTTCCACCTTTTGGCTGCTGTAGACAGTGCTGCTATGAACATGAGTGGACACATGTCTGAGTCCCTGCCTTCAATTCTTTTGGGTATATACCCAAAGCTCCACTTCTGGGCTACATGATAATGTTTAATTTTTTGGAGAACTGTTAAAACAGCACAACTTTTATGCATCCTTGGATTACACACTCCAGCAGAGGGCAGTCCTCTGATATAGTCACAGGCGAGTGACAGCCAAGGAAGCCGCATCAGAGCTCATGGATGACTGCAGATGACTGGATTCAGCATTAACTATGGAGTTGGGAGAGCTGGGCTCAGTCCTTCCTTTCCGTATCGCTGCCACCGTGTGCGAGCCTGCACCGTGGAGACGATCAGCCAGCACGCGCCGGATGAACGTGGTGTCCACCGTGCAAGCCTCACTTCCTAATCCGTCAGCTGGGCGAGCTTCAGACGTCACTTACACACACGGGGCTTCTGCTTTCTGAATCTGGGAAACATGGTTAATAGTTTATATCCTGCCTACTTCATATGGTGGATGAGAGTAAAAGTAAAAAAAAAGTTGGTAAAAGTTCTTTGTAAATGGCCAAGGAATATCACAATCTAAGGCATTCTGTAATCAACAAAATCAATATTGTGGGAGAGCAGAATATGCTGCACAGGCCTGAGGCGCGCTGAGCTGAAGATGAAGCAGCAGCAGCAGATGCAGGAGAGCTCTGTGTCCTCTGGTTAGGACACTGGTTAGGACAAAAGTACCCACCCCCACTAGGGAGGACAAAGGCTACCCCTGAGGACAGCTTTGGCCCCATGTGGTCCCACGTGGGACCAGCCTCCATTGGCCAGCCCTGCGCCTCCCCAGCTGCAGTCCCTGGAGACCCAAAGGCCTCTTCCTTTGTCTTTCCAGGTCTTTAAAAGTTCCCTGTTCTTTGTTGAAGATGCCATGTAGGCTGGACTCAAAGCCGCCTCTGTGAGAATGACTCATTTCCTGGGTGTCTTCCATGCACACGTGAGAAGATGTGTGTTAAAAACTTGTTTGTTTTTCTCTTGTTAATCTGTCTTTTGTTACAGGGGTCTGGTCCAGCTAAGAACTTATGAGGTTTGAGGAAAACATGATTTTCCTTCCCTGTAATATTGTCAATATTAATACTGATTAAGTAATGGACCAAGGCTTATCACCTGGTTATTTTTCATTTTAGTTTTTGAGATGGAGTCTTGCTCTGTTGACCAGGCTGGAGTGCAATGGTGTGATCTTGGCTAATTGCAACCTCTGTCTCCAGGGTTCAAGTGATTTTCCTGTTTCAGCCTCCCAAGTAGCTGGGATTACAAGCACACACCACCACACCAGGCTAATTTTTGTATTTTTAGTAGAAACGGGGTTTCACCCTGTTGGCCAGGCTGGTCTTGAACTCCTGACCTCAGGTGATCCACCTGTGTTGGCCTCCCAAAGTGCTGGAATTACAGGTGTGAGCTGCCGTGCACGGCCAAACCTGGTTATTTTTAGAGGCCACAGGTGGCTCAAATGTCTGGATAACCCCTGCATAACCTAACCACAGCCTCTCCCCGGGCTGCATGTCCATCTGTGTGTCAGCACACAGAAGCATCTTTGCCATGAAGGCTGGCCCTGGGTGACCTCTCAAACGGCTCCGAGACCCACCACGAGACGCCAGGCACCTCAGGCCCGGCTGCTCACTTGACCCCCCTCCCACCAGGCAGCTCTGGTCCAGTTCCATCAAGAACCCGCGGATCCACAGGTTCTGAAGTCCGTTCCCCCCTCCCTGGTCCCGTCTGCAGCATCGGCCACCGCCCTTCCCTTCCTCTCTTTCTCACCAGCTCAGGTTCAGTGGCTTTTTTCAGGCATAGCTTTATAAACATCCTTGACTTCAGAACCTAATGGAACTTGTTCCTGGGAAACTTGAAAAGACAGAAGTTCACCAGGTGCCCTTGCTAGCTGCTCTGAGCAGGGCTGGGAGCAGACACAGCCACTGCACCATGGGAGCTTTCCGTGGCCAGTCACTCCAGAGCCCTGCGGGTCTCAATCTGACAGCTGCTAACTGGCTGCTGTCGGGGAAAGAATCTGGAGAATTGGGGTGCAGAAGAAACCCATAAACTCCGTTGCTCCCTGAGCTGTGACGGACCCATTTCCTGTCCCGAGGGAACCGCCGCTCTGCATCCTGGATGTGTAAGGAGGCTGCGGCAGCATCTCTGTCTCTAACTTGGATCAACTATGCAGATTTCATCCAAAGTGTCTACAGGAGACAATCTTACATAAAAATGTCACTGCTGAAAAGTTTCTCCAAATGGGAAAATGAGAATGATAAGAACAACTGTGTTTGCACAGATTGGCCCCTGGCTCGGGAGACTGAAGATTCTTGTTTCCGTTTCCCGGCACCACTGCTGACGAGGCTCAAGCTGCCTCTGACGTTCCCACTGTCCAGTGGCTCTGTGGTGGGACAGGGCAGAGCCTCTCTTTGCAGACAGAGGGGACTGGGACTACAGTCCGGGAATGCTCACCTCCGGGGCCACGAAGTTGGCCGTGTAGCAGGGCGTCATGAGCAACCCGTTCCCCGCACGCAGCTGCTTGGCAAAGCCAAAGTCGCAGACTCGGATGGATTCCGGGCTCCCCGACTCGTCCCTGTAGAGGATGTTACTCGGCTTCAGGTCTCGATGGACAACCTGCAAGACAGAAGGGACGGTGCCCACGTGGGGCTGAGGACCGAGCTGGGGACAACCTGCAAGACAGAAGGGACGGTGCCCACGTGGGGCTGAGGACCGAGCTGGGGACAACCTGCAAGACAGAAGGGACGGTGCCCACGTGGGGCTGAGGACCGAGCTGGGGACAACCTGCAAGGCAGAAGGGACGGTGCCCACGTGGGGCTGAGGACCGAGCTGGGGACAACCTGCAAGACAGAAGGGACGGTGCCCACGTGGGGCTGAGGACCGAGCTGGGGACAACCTGCAAGGCAGAAGGGACGGTGCCCACGTGGGGCTGAGGACCGAGCTGGGGACAACCTGCAAGACAGAAGGGACGGTGCCCACGTGGGGCTGAGGACCGAGCTGGGGACAACCTGCAAGACAGAAGGGACGGTGCCCACGTGGGGCTGAGGACCGAGCTGGGGACAACCTGCAAGGCAGAAGGGACGGTGCCCACGTGGGGCTGAGGACCGAGCTGGGGACAACCTGCAAGACAGAAGGGACGGTGCCCACGTGGGGCTGAGGACCGAGCTGGGGACAACCTGCAAGACAGAAGGGACGGTGCCCACGTGGGGCTGAGGACCGAGCTGGGGACAACCTGCAAGGCAGAAGGGACGGTGCCCACGTGGGGCTGAGGACCGAGCTGGGGACAACCTGCAAGACAGAAGGGACGGTGCCCACGTGGGGCTGAGGACCGAGCTGGGGACAACCTGCAAGACAGAAGGGACGGTGCCCACGTGGGGCTGAGGACCGAGCTGGGGACAACCTGCAAGACAGAAGGGACGGTGCCCACGTGGGGCTGAGGACCGAGCTGGGGACAACCTGCAAGGCAGAAGGGACGGTGCCCACGTGGGGCTGAGGACCGAGCTGGGGACAACCTGCAAGACAGAAGGGACGGTGCCCACGTGGGGCTGAGGACCGAGCTGGGGACAACCTGCAAGACAGAAGGGACGGTGCCCACGTGGGGCTGAGGACCGAGCTGGGGACAACCTGCAAGACAGAAGGGACGGTGCCCACGTGGGGCTGAGGACCGAGCTGGGGACAACCTGCAAGGCAGAAGGGACGGTGCCCACGTGGGGCTGAGGACCGAGCTGGGGACAACCTGCAAGACAGAAGGGACGGTGCCCACGTGGGGCTGAGGACCGAGCTGGGGACAACCTGCAAGGCAGAAGGGACGGTGTCCACATGGGGGCTGAGGACTGAGCTGGGGACAACCTGCAAGGCAGAAGGGACGGTGCCCACATGGGGCCGAGGACTGAGCTGGAGAGGGAGGGTGGGTGCGTTCGCAGGGGAGGGTGTGTTTTGGAATTGTCTTCCCAGCAGGTCCGGCAGTCAGGCAGCAGACCAGTGGGGTCAACAGCTGCTGTCTTCTCTGGAGGACCCCCCACCCTCTCTCACTCTCCTGTGTTGGTCACTCACATCTGAGCCCCTGGAGTCACCTGCTTTTACAGGGAATGAATATTTGAATACATAAGTGAGCACCTCTCCAAGATGGGGCCGCAGCTCACTGGAGCTGTTACATAAATGGAAATGTAGTGAGCTCTGGTGGCGGGAATGAAAAACATTTTAAAGATGATGTTCATTCATTAACTATTCCCTGTGCGCCCGCCCCATGCACTGCTTGGTGTTAGAGCAGTGCCGGTGAGTGGCACGGACCAGGCAACTGCTGTCCTGGGTGCACCAACCCATGGGGGAGACGGACTGGACCACGTGATCACTCAGTCACTCTGCAATTGTGCCTGGAAGCCTCCCTGAGCTGCGCTGGCTGCAATGTGGTGGGGCCAGTATACCTCAAAGCACAGTGGTTATTTAGAGCACAAAGCAATGTCTTCTGAGGGGACAGAGGGCCATTGTGAGCACATGTGGCGTGCCTGTATACAGCTTGGATCTTGAACGCCCCAGTTGTCCTAATAAAATCCAGCGGGAGGATGCAGAAGGGAATGAAAGGGACACCCTCTAGCAGTCAGGCCCGGTTGACAGAGGTCCTGACAGCAAGGAAATGAAAGATTGTGGCTTCACTTCCATTACCTCCCTCATTACATAAGAGCAGATCTGCAGGAAACATCATCCGAAGGGCTTCCTCTGAGTCTGACTGTTGTGGGAAAACTGGGAAGTGCTTAACGGTCAAGACCACCGGGTGACCACCCAGAAGCGACCCAGGGTGTGGTCCTGGAAGCACGTTCCCTCTTTGGAGATGACTGCATTCTGAAGACTCAGGACCACGCACACAGCTGCCTAAGACTGGATTTCCTGCCCCAGGAGACACACTGGGAAGAGTGGGCGCAGGGGAAATGTGTGATATGGCGCAGCCACCTCCCTGGGAGGGCAGGGCTGGGACCAAGTGCAAGGCCTGGAACCAGAGGGCCGGGGTCCAACCCCACTGCCACCTCCTCATGTGCGACCTTGGACAAGATCCTCACGCTCCTGGGCCCCTCACCTGCACAGTGGGTGTGGTCTAGGGTTCGGAGTCAGTGAATGAAGAGCATGCAGCACAGCCTGGATCACGGTGGGGCCCATATCAACCCCAGGCATCACTGCCACCCCGGCCTCAGCATTTCTGTGCACCAGTTAATGAATTCAACTTTACCCACTGCAAGTAACGAAAATTCTCAATTTCTTTTGATTAAGGCCAAAGTATTTCTGTGGCTAAAGTTGGTACAAATGATTTTAGACCCTCAGAGAGTAGCAGAGTCAGGCACCCCAAAACAAGCCGCTTTGGCATAAGGTTATTTTGAGCTGAAAACAACTGAAAAGATGCAGATGTAAGCAAAGCTCTCTGCCCTCCCCCTTTCCCTAAAACCAGGATATAAATGGGGAAAGGTGTCCCTCCTGTCCTCTTTGTCAGGAAGGATGGAAGGGGAATGCTAGACCCTTACAGCCCGGAGAAGCCACCAGAAATATCTCCATGACACATGTCCCTGACAAGCCTTCACCTTCTGTTAGTTTCCCATAGACTTAGCATCTCACAGTTTGCTGCCCTAAAAACTCAGTCCTTTTTCTTTAAATATTACTGTTCTTTTAAATATATTTTTTTATTTGAGACAGAATTTTGCTCTGTGGCCCAGGCTGGAGTGCAGTGGCATGATCTTGGCTGCTTGCAGCCTCCACTTCCTGAGTTCAAGCGATTCTCCTGCCTCAGCCTCCCGAGTAGCTGGAATTACAGGCATGTGCCACCCTGCCCAGCTCATTTTTGTATTTTTAGTAGAGATGGGATTTTGCCATGTTAGTCAGGCTTGTCTCGAACACCTGACCTCAGGTGATCCACCTGCCCCAGCCTCCAAAAGTGGTGTGTTACAGGCATAAGCCACTGCGCCTGGCAACTTTATTGTTCTTTTGTTAAGATGCTATGTCAGCTCCAGTCCTAACAGCCCGGAGTTACTCCTGGCCAGTGCTCCCATGTGTATGTGACATGCGCATGGTAACAGACTTCGGTTTCTCTCTTGTTAACCTGTCTTTGGCCAATCTTGCTTATAGGGCCTCCACCAAAGAATTAAGATGGGCAGAGGGAAAAGGGAACTTTTCTTCCCCTGCACCGTCACCGAGCCTCCAGACACAAGGGGGATGATGGTGCACGGAAGGAATTCCAGGACAATCTGCACTCCCAGCTCTTGAACCCACAAACCCTTGTGGTTTTGGGTCCTGCCCTGAAGCTCCTGCCTCCCCGACGGCTGCCCCAGGCGCGGCTCCTACCCCCTGGGAGTGGAGGTAGTCCATGGTCTTGGTGATGGTGCACAGCACATCACTGGCCTCGCGTTCTGAGAAGTATCTCTGCCTAAGGATGCGGTCCAGGAGCTCCCCGCCGCGCATCAGCTCCATCACCAGGTACACGAACTTGCCATCATCATAGACCTGCAGGGTGGAGACAGGGCACACACAGGCCTCAGGGATGGGCACGCCCCTGTGGCTGGTTACTGCAGAAGAGCAACCTCTCCTGAAGGGACGGGAGAGGGATGTCAGAGGGGAGAGGCTGGGACCGCAGGGCCTCTAGGAGTGAAACCGAGGCTTCTGCAGGGAAGAAGCAAATGGCCATTCTTGTCATACCAGATGTGATTTCCTCTTTTCAGGTAGAAAATGCCTTTAATAATCCACTGCTAAGCAGGGACTGAGTAAAGGCATATGAGATGGACATGTCCTTAGCTGAGATGAATGGCTTCATGACTCTGCCAGGAGATATTTATTTTTTGTTTTATTTATTATTATTATTATTATTTTTTGAGATGGAATCTCACTCTGTCACCCAGGCTGGAATGCAAAGGCACCATCTCAGCTCTCTATAATATCTGGCCCCCAGGTTCAAGCAATTCTGCCTCAGCCTCCTGAGTAGCTGGGATTACAGGCGCACACCGTCATGCCAGACTAATTTTTGTATTTTCAGTAGAGATGGGGTTTTGCTAAGTTGGCCAGGCTGGACTCAAATTCCTGATCTCAAGTGATCCTCCTGCCTTGGCCTCCCAAAGTGCTGGGATTACAAGCGTGAGCCACTGCACCTGGCCTGCCAGAGATATTTGGGCATTAAGAAACGCTAACGTTGGCACAAGACCTAGCCAGAGCAGGGCCTCAGGGCAGTGCTTTTCAAACTGTAACACGCATCCAGTCTTGGGGACCTTGTTCCGGTGGGCCTGGCCCTCTGCATTTTTAACCAGCTTCCCATGATGTCTGGCTGCTACTGTACAGACAGCACTGAGTGGCCAGGCGTGGGCAGCACCAAGAGGCTAGGCAGAGTCCAGGGCCAAGTTACGTATCAGAGCCATGCTGTTGCTTCAGAGAAGAAACAGAAAAAGATAGTCTTCTGATACTGGCTTTTATCTCATGAACTCAACAAAAACAATACACTCTGAATATTCTTTTCTTTTTTTTTTTTTTTGAGACAGAGTCTTGCCCAGGCTGGAGTGCAATGGTATAATCTCAGCTCAGTGCAACCTCGCCTCCTGAGTTTAAGCGATTCTCCTGCCTCAGCCTCCCCAGTAGCTGGGATTACAGGTGTGTACAACCATAGCCGGCTAATTTTGTATTTTCAGTAGAGATGGGGTTTCATCATGTTGGCCAGGCTGGTCTTGAACTCCTGACCTCAAGTGATCTGCCTGCCTAGGCCTCCAGGTATGAGCCACCACACCTGGCTTGCTCTGGCTATTTTTTTTTTTTTTGAGACAGAGTCTCACTTCGTTGCCAAGGCTGAAGTGTAATAGCATCTTAGCTCGCTGTAGCATCTGGCTCCTGGGTTCAAGCAATTCTCCTGCCTCAGCCTCCTGACTAGCTGGGATTACAGGCACACGCTACACCACTACACCTGGCTAATTTTTGTATTTTTAGTAGAGACAGTGATTCACCATGTTGGTCAGGCTGGTCTCAAACTTCTGACCTCGTGATCCGCCTGTCTCAGCCTCCCAAAGTGCTGGGATTACAGGCGTGAGCCAGTGCGCCCCGCCAATTCTATTCCAAGCTTGCATGTTAAGACCATTTGCACATACTTATCACTCTGCATGAGGCAAACTGAGGTAGGCCCAGTATCTGTGGCTCTAGGTTCATAATGCTGGAATCATTTTGGAGTTGGAGTGTGAGGAGGAAAACCGTCTCCTGTCTCTGCTCCCGGATCCCAAGTGCTGCACCCCATGGGCCTCTAGGGGTGCTGTGGGACTTTCTGAATGGTTCAGTTTGCCTGGTTCCTGGTCCCCACCCTACCCTAGAGAAAATGACCCCAATCTTCTAACAGAGAAAGCCACAGAAGCTTTGAGAAGCTCCAAGCCAGGGCTGTGATCTGATAGTGGATGTGACCCATGCCCTCTCATCGTTCCTGCCTTTCCAGGTTTGCCATGTGTAGGAAAGACAAGGAGAGACTCCATCTGTGGCCTGTAATTCACACGAGCCATCTCTGCCTCGTTTCACTTGCACCCTGCATGACGGGGTGATGGCTCTGGAAAAGATCTGAGTACACAGTCCAGCAAGTCAGCTCCAAGTGACTGAGGGGTGTGGGTGGTGAAAACCAGCTCAGACAGGCTTGAGATGTGGGAAAGCGCACTCAACGTGAATGGGAACATTTTTGTGTCGGTTGAAAAAACAGAAGGAAGTGGGGTGCTGCTGCTCCAGGCACTCACATCCTTGAGGGTGATGATGTTGGGGTGCTGGCCATACCGCAGCAGGATCTCGATCTCTTCCGAGGGGTCCCTCTTGCTCTTATCGATGATCTAGAACAAACACAGCACGTGGCAGTGAGAGGTCTACTTTTAGGCTTTGGGTGGTATCTGCTGGTGGACTCTTGCGTCTGGATGCCTGGCCCCAGGTGACCCACCCACTACAATCTCACACCTGACCAAGAGATAACTTGATATTGCCTGGAAATTCATGGCAAGTCCTTTCTTTTACAACTAGCTTAAGATTTACATTTAAAAAGAGGAGTACAGGCCAGGCAAGGTGGGTCACACCTGTAATGTCAGCATTTTGGGAGGCCAAGGCAGGCAGGTGGCTTGAGGTGAGGAGTTCAAGACCAGCCAGCCAGGCGAACATGGCAAAACATGGTCTCTACTAAAAATACAAATATTAGCCGGACATGGTGGTGCGTGCCTGTAATCCCAGCCACTCAGTAGGCTGATGACGAGAATCACTTGAACCCGGAAGGTGGAGGTTGCAGGGAGCTGAGATAGCACCACTGCACTCCAGTCTGGTGATAGAGCGAGACTCTGTCTCAAAAAAGAGAAAAAAAAAAAAAAAAAAAAAAAAAAGGAGTACAAGGCTTCAGTACAAGGCTTAAAATTCAATGAATTTTAAGACATTGTAAGGCTGGGTGGTGATGCACGTGTAGGGAGCTCATGCAGGTGCCACCAAATAACAGAATACGTCCCATCCTCCGTAGTGGCCACCAGCCATAAGCAGCCACCAGCCACTGTGTGCCTCCTTCCTTGTTCCGGGAGTTACAAACCAGCCACAGAATGAGGTGAGGCGCACGGCTCTCACCAAGAGATGCTGGGGATAGTGTGAGGACCAGACCTGCCCTGTCGTTCCCATATGCAAGCTCCCCTCCCCTGCCCAGCTTCTCCAGCCGATATCTTAGGATAACAGACAAAGTTGCTTCAACCCCATGAAGACATATGGTTTCCGAGGACAGGGCATCGTGATTTAAGCCTGCCTTGGAAGCAGGAAGTCACTGCTGGCCCCTGGTGGTGAAGCCCCCTGGAGATGCCTAAGTCCCGCCCTGCCGTGGGACAGGACCAGTGGCAGGAGGGCACCCCACTCACGGGAAATCAGCAACGTGTATGTTGCAAACAACACTCAGAACAGAAGAAAAGCAACGGGAAACACCTTCCTAACCATGATTTGTACTATTCTTGCACATTAGCTCAAACTAATTGTCAAATAGTCACTATCTGGAGAATGTGCAGTCACTTTACTACTAGTATATGAGGGTGATTTGCTTTTAACTTCTGTCTTATCAAAGTCTCTAAGCAGAGCTTTGTATAACACTCTATTTCTTTAATTGTGGTTTTTAGAGACAGGGTCTTTGTTGCCTAGGTTGGAGTGCAGTGGTGCAAGCTTATATGCTTACAGTTCACTGCAACATCAAACCCCTGGGCTCGAGCAATCCTCCTGCCTCAGCCTCCAGAGTGACTAGGACTACAGAGGTGTGTGCCACCACATTCAGCTATTTTTAAGTTATTTGTAAATATGGGGTCTTGTTGTGTTGCCCAGGCTGGTTTCGAACTCCTGGCTTCAAGTGATCTTCCTGCCTCAGCCTCCCAAAGTGCTGAGATTACAGGTGTGAGCCACCACACCTGGCTATCTCTTTACTTTAGAAAGCCAAACGCTTGGGCAGCATTTGACTCACTGCTTGTACTCTGTCCCGTAGTCACCCTCCGCCCCTGTCACCATTATAAAAAATCACCATAGTGCCAGTTCTCACCCCATTATGGTTTTAAAGGATGCTCTGTCACGGCCACCACTCGGCTCTGACTGCATCTGTGGCCCATGATGTGTGTAACAGCTTGTGTTGTTAAACAGACAGAAAAGTTAGGGTCCCTTTCTGGACACAACATTTCTCTCCTTTGGCTGCATTTAACCCTACAAAAGTTTTAGCGAGGGCACTAGGATTATTTCCATTAGCAACATAAATGCATCATTCTCAAGTAGAGACTTTTTAAAAAACCGCTGAAGGAGGAGGGGTAGGGGATGCTCCCTCATGTTCCACAGCCTTAGTCTGGGTCCTGGGGGGCTAGTCCTGCACTCCTTAGAGGGGAAGCTGGCTGTCAGGTGCCTGAACTCCGCTGCTCCCAGCTGCCTGAGGGTATCCCGTCTCTCTGGGATCCTCTCTTTGCAATTAGAGAAGGTTAAAATACATTTATGGATTTTTATAAAAAATTCAGTAGAAGAAGTTTTTTCAAATATGATTTTGTGATAAAGGGATGTGTTCTTAGCAAGAATCTCACGATGGAACAGGATGCAGAGTGACCAAGAAAGCGGGAGCCTTTCCGCCACCGCCAGGGACGATCTTCAAGAGACACTGAGTGGAAGAGGTCGCCGGGGAGCAGGCGCTCCCTAAGCCATCCCTCGGTTTAAAAATGGAGAGAAGAATGCAAATGGGCACGTCTACTTCCTTGTGGGTGCATAAAATCCCCCTGGAGGGAAGGAGGAAACATTCAATTGCCTGGGCTGCCTGTGAGGAGGGGAACGGCGCCTGGGGGCCTCGGTGGGAGGGAGACCTTGCTGTGTCTGCATGAATTTTGTAAAATTTTGAACCCCAAGAATATATTGTCTACTCAAAAATTAAAGAAAGAATTCCAAAATGTATTTTGTAAGCTGAAATTGGAGAACAATGCGAGTACTGTTTTAAAGAATCTGGGACTACAGACGCTGCCCTGTCAGCCCTGGTATCTATTTTATTTCTATATGTTCTTCTGTTGTGTCTTCAGAAAAACTCTGACTTATAAGTACTGGTGAACAGTTTTCAAAGACAGACTACCTTAAAATCTTGCTTACTTTAAAAACTATTTTCAGTTGGAATAAAAGCTAGCGTGTGTGCGTGCATGTGAGGCGCACTGGATTTCAACCCGTCCCGGCTGCTGTCCTGGTCGTGTGCTGGAGTCTGATACACTCTGGAGCATGCGTGTTGGCTTTCAGTACACTTTGAATGGATTAGTTATGACTTTTTCAAAATCATTAATTGCTTGGTGGCACCCCCAAAGCACCTCTGTCCGCAACCGAACACCACACACCAGCAGTTCTGTGAGGTGGCATTTGGGGAAATGGAGGAAAATAAGAGAAGCTCCCAGGCCCAGGTCCCATGCGAGCAGGAGCTCATCTGGAGGAGACCCTGAGGGGCTCATGAGTAGAGCTGTGTCTCTCCGCAGGGCAGCAGCTCCCCGCGCCTCTCCGAACCTAGCTTTCTTCAACTGTAAAAACTAGGAAACAGCAGGCACTCCCCTGGGTCACTGTAAAGATTTAGCAAATGAATGTGAATTGATCGCTTCATATTCTCCCTGGTGCAAGGAGAAAGCACTTGGTAGGAGTGAGTTATTCTTATTACAGAGATAAAATAGAATTACCCTGATGTCCCCAGGCAAGGGACCAAGTGGCTTTGACCTGCCACGTTATGGCCCTGAAATGCCGCCTTGGGTCCTGTCCCTGAATCTTCACGGCAAGTCAGTGCCATGAAGGAGTGTGATGTTCAAAACTAACGTTAGCAGCAGAGCGAGTTTCAGTGAAAGCCCCAGGAAAAACAATCAGACCTCACACCAACTGGGTCAACCCAGAGGGCTTCATTAAAGGATTGTTTGCAAAAGAGTAGAGTGGCCAGAGGGTCAGTGGCTGGTGAGCAAGGCACGCTCTCATGCCTTGGGGGCAGTCGTGGCTCCCAAGGCCAAAGAACTGTGCAGGGGCGGTCACAGGACCAGAAGGGGTTGCTCTGGGTGGGCAGGTGCACCCTGACAGGGGCTGTGGGCAGAAAGGCCTCGGCCCCACACCTCTCTTCACACTCTGGTGGTGTTTGTCTTGCATTAGCAGAACCTGCCCAGAAGCCAGAGGTGTGGAAGTGGCCCCTAACAGTCAGCCTCCTGGCTTCCTTGCTTCCTGGCCTCCCAGCCTCAGAGAAGTGAGGAGGGTGGGTTTACAGGGGTAATGGCGATCCCTGTTCTGGAAGGGAAGTTCCACAGTGGAGTCACAGCAGGAATAGGTTCTCACATCGTCCTCCTGGGCTTCTGCCTTCTCCTGCCCTGCGCAGAATTGTTCCAAATCAAGTCTGCGCAGACAAGGCTTAGACCCAAAGTGGCAAGGCAGTTCCAATCCCATGTTTCCCTCTGGACGCTGTCAGGAAGTGCCGGCTGCTTTTCCCTGGAACTCTTTTGCGGGATTTTTTTTTTTTTTTTTTGCTTTTGTTTTTATTTTTGCAGGGAGGGAGAGCTATTCGAGAAAGGTAAGGATGGAGAGTGCTCGCACAGGGAGTGCGCTGTGGCTATGGTCCCGGAGCACAAGGCCAGGGTCTGCTGCAGGAAGATGGGTTTGGGCACTGTGGCCAGGAGCACCAGGCAGTGACTTATTCTCCATGCGGTCAGTTTCTTGGGGTTGACCATGTTGGATTTGCTCTTATTAGAGCAAGCTCTGGTAGATGGTGTTCCTCATTCTGAGAATAATACTGTTTTATAATCTTCATTATGCAATTAACAGGGAAGCCTTCTCAGCCAGCGTGGTGATGAGCAAGGCCTCCCCTCCAGGCCAATGCTCAAATAATACTGACCCGCCGCAGGGCAGGAGTGGCGCAGTAGGCAGGGACAAGCTCTCTTAGCTTTCTTTTTCTCACCTGGCAACAGCTGGTTAGAAAGGACACCTACGACCTATAGAAAACACTACCCAGGCACTGGCCACCCACCACAGCTGGTAAATAAGCTTTTCATGGTGTTGCCACAGAGCAAGCTGAGTATTTCCACCGTCTTTAGAGATGCTAAGTCCAGCTGTCCGAATATCCATAAAGCAATTCTGGGTTCAACATGGATGGCACACAACTGTGATCTTCCTTAGCAGTGACACATGCAGCCACGCGTAAAACTCTGCCATTCCTGCCGGCCCAAGGTGGGAACCAGAGACTTCACTGCTCCCGATGCGCCTTTCCTCCTGCCCGCTGAAGGCAGTAACAGGCGGCTTCCCTGCTCTGGACACACCTTTCCTTCTTCCTCTGGTCCTTGCATTTCTCCACCTTTCCTGT